AAATAAATGAAAACTAGTTAAAAGGACACTTAGAAGAGAACTATTAAAACAAAGAAGAACATGAAGGAACAGAACAGGGAAGGTCTAAAAATCAAATAAAGAGAAGCCTGAAGTCATTTTTAATTATTTAACATGCATTAGTCTGTCTGAGCTAATTACCAATGAAAAGTAAAGCTAAACTAATTCTCTCAGATTTCAGATCATCGCTCCTATTCTCACAGTTGTTTATCGGTCTAAATGCATCAAGCTGCGTTTGAAGAACTTCATAAATTAGATTTGCAAATCATAATATATAATCCAAGTTGACTATAAATCTTATTCCAAGCAGCTGTTCCTCTGTAAACAGCGATGATAAGAGGATTTACTAAAATGCACTAAATCGGGAATAATTACTTGTATTTTTGATGCTTCTTGGATAAGTTGTGTTCATTGACTGGCTCAAACTTCCTGTCTTGATTTGCCTGACTTCTCTTCATCAGATTGAGGAGAACCAGCATTTACCATGTTCACCGAATGCTTCACGAGACACAGGGCAGCTTTTCCAGCTACTTTACAAAGGTTTCCCCTCAACAGAAAAAAATCTGACCATGACTGACGGAAACATGTTAGTCCTTTTAGCTGGACTGATTTCTAATTATCTCCATTATCTCACAATGGAGATAAAACTGTTTTGTACTTTTGTACTCTTACTTCTTTTTATTTCTGTCCTCATTTCACCTTATCTTGCAATCTCGAAGCCTAAACTCCGTCAGTGGAGGCAGGCACTCGTCCCTGACCCCTCTGTGGAACATGGAGGAGCCCCAGATGCAGAAACAGAAGACATAGAAACAGAAACTACTCCATCAGGTGCTCTGTGTGAAGAGTGTGAAATACCTCTGCAGAGTCCTATGACCAGTAAGTGTATAGAGGACTGAAGCTGACCCCTCCGGACACGGAACAGAGTAAAGGTTAGCTCACTTTCATTACATCTGACCTTCTTCGTCTTTAATTTGAAGCTGTGACAATCATTCCCCTCACAGCTTCCGTTTTCTTGCTACATTTACCCGTTTCTTTCCTGCCGCTATGCTTTGGTTTGTAGGGAGTTTTAGTCACTGCATTTTAATAGTTAAAAAGTAATTATGTGAGGACATCTGTTAGTTGTGTTTTTAGTCTGTTTTCTCACCTCACAATTCAACACAGAAGTTTTTCTTTAGCCTGAACTTTTAAAAAAGTGGATAAACTTCATGAGACTTAAATCACTACAATGGGCTCTGAAACTTTGAATCTAAAACCTGTCGGATGTCAAACTCAAGTTGTTTACAGTTAAACAGCAAGAAGATGGAAACGAGGTGAGTGAGAAGGAAGACATTAAACAACAAAAATATC